GTGCAAACATGTATTTGTGCCACGTAAACATTCCACTTGACCAATGAAACTAGGGGAGTAGAGGTTATTGACAAACATACCAAATAAGATCTCAACTCAGCTCTGTACGCGCCACTGGCTGCCACCGCCGTTCGCGCCACTGGCCATTCCAAGGAGCAGCCCCCAAGCCAACGCCCCCAAGCCCGACGCCACCGAGCCAACGCCCCCGACTGCCCTCTTTCTCTGTACCTGAATTTTGTGGAAGATTCTGAAAATGTTGATGTTCAGATTTGTAATTTTGTTGTGTAAATTGATCTATAAAGAATGTTGTAGCTGCGAATATTTTGATGGTCAAGTGTCCTACAAATCGATTATAGCAAATGTTGTGTAAATTGATCTATATAGAATGTTATGGAAAATGTTTTGATGTTCAGGTGTCATGCGATTTTTTTAACTAAAAAAATCCTTGTTGTCTGTAAATTAGTTGGGCAGACGGCAAGGATTGTGTTTCGACTGATGCAAAATATAGCAAGTCTGGTGTCTGTTATTGAGATTGGCTGACTTTGCCGTCTGCCCGATGAAAAGCTGATGGCAAAGTACCATTTACCGACGGACTTTGCTATCAGCTTGCTGATGGAAAAATCGTTGCCGTCTGTGAAGCAAATTACCCGATTCCTGTAGTGAGCCAAGCTGTTGGAAATATACCCTAGATGCAATAATATTGTATCATTATATGTGCATTTTCATAATTAATAGTCTATATTTCATGTTATAACTGCTATGATCCTGCAATATGATTCAATGAAAAACTCGTATGCACGTGTGGAATGCTAAAAGGTAAAGACTAGGTTCCCAATCTTGCCTCTAAAACTGGCTCAAGTGTTGTTGATGATCATGTTTTAGGGTCTTAGGATATCGTTAAGTGTAATGATAATCCTAAAATAACATTGAGAGTCTGACGTTAGAAGAATGATCATATTGAATCGACCCAAAGTTGTTTATTATACTTTGAGATAATATCGTCTGAAATCAATTGCTATAATTAACACAGAGCGTTAACATGTGTCTTTGGTTCCTTAAACCATGAGAGTATCGTAGTCACTTCCTACCGTACAGGAATACATCTGTAATATGTTGATCATAATGATAACTTACGGGTCATCGGAAAGTTTGACAATGAACTAGATAACTCGAGAGTGGGATTTTCTCCTCTGGCAATGGAGAGATATTGTTAGGGCCCTCTCGGTGTGACAATATTAATCATCATCTGGCCAGACATAGGTGACTATGTCACAGGGATGTCGGAACACTACAACGAGAAAGAAGAATAAAACAGATAAAAAGGCAACCATATAGTGAGCATGTGTATGACTCAGGGGATACCGATGCTTCTCGGGTTCTGTAAAATATCAT